CATGCCCGGTGTGCTCCACGGCCGAGAAAGTGGTGGCCCACAGGTTGGGGGGAGGGGCCTGTACGGCCCTCCAAAAAAAGAAGGGGAAAGGGGGGAAAACAAAGGGGCGGGGAAAGCCCGAACCTCGCCCACCTCCCAACCCGACCAGGTAGGAAGCCAGCAGCGATCCCAGGATAGCGCTGCTGGTTCATCCGGGATGGGTCAAGTGGACCCTCCCCCGAGAGGGAGAAGGGAACCCAGGAGGCCCAAAGAGGACTTGGCTCGCTCGTCTGCACCCGAGGCCCCAGAAGTCCCTATGGAGGTGCAAATGGAGGAGACTCCCCCGGCGACGGAGGAGAGAGGGGGAACGGGGGAGGAAGCAGCCCCCGCTAATACCGAGGTGGTCGGCCTGGAGGAGGTAAATTTGCCGCCTATAAATGGCGACTAAACTCCTCCAGGCCAACCTTGGCCACACAAGGATCGCCCAGGACCTGTTCCTGCACTCGTTCGCCGAACGCAGGGCAGGCCTGGGCGTGGTGTCCGAACCCTACCGGATCCCGGCCGACGATTCACGCTGGTTCGGGAATCCGGGGGGCTCGGCGGCCATATACTGGAGGGGCTGCCAGGAATCTCCTCGGCCCACGCTAATTGTGGCCGAGGAGTTCCTGGTGGCGGTTAAATGGGGGGCCCTAGTGGTGGTCGCCCTCTACGCTCCCCCAAGATGGAGGAGAGTCGACTACGAGGCGCATCTTGACCGGGTGTCAGGGGTAATCAGAAGATGCGCCCCTCACCCGGTGGTGGTGGCCGGGGACTTCAACGCCAAATCCACGGCGTGGGGTTCCCCGGCCACGAGCGTCCGTGGTCGGCTCACGGAAGGCTGGGCGGCGTTGATGGGCCTTCGTATCTTAAACGAAGGCTCGGTGAGCACCTGCGTGCGTCCGCAGGGCGAATCGATAATTGACCTCACTTGGGTCAATGGCCCTGCGGCGCGCGCGGCGGGGGGTTGGAAGGTGGTGGAGGGGGTGGACACTGGGTCCGACCACCTCTATATAGAGGTCACCCTCTCCGCCATTCCCCCACATGTGCTCAGGCGCCGCCGAGAGAGGGAGCGAGGGCGGCCCGGCAGATGGGCCCTCCGCAAGTTAGACGAGGACGCCCTTAAGGCGTCCATGGGGGCGACTGAGTGGTCGCGGGGGGAGGATCTCCCTCCCCTTAGGGATGGGGAAGAGGTAGAGGAGGAGGCGGAAGGACTCTAGGCGCACATGGAGGCTGCGTGTAACGCGTCCATGCCCCGAGTCCGTCTCTCGTCCTTCAAGTCCGCATATTGGTGGACGGAGGAGATAGCCGATCTCAGGCACTCCTCCGTCCAAGCCAGACGCAAAATGCAGCGGACAAGAAGGGCGGGGGACGTCATCGCTGCGACGGAAGCGCGCAGGGCCTTCCGAGCCGCACGGAAGGCCCTGCGCAGCGCGATTGCGAAGGCCAAGGCCAGGTGCTGGGAGGAGATGCTCGCCTCCCTGGACAAGGATCCATGGGGGCGCCCATATAGGCTAGTCTTGCGCAGACTAAGACCCTGGGCGCCCCCCGCTACGGAGACCCTGGAACCCCCATTCCTCGATAACGTGGTGGGGACCCTCTTTCCGAACGAGGGGCCGCCGCCCCTCCCGTACGAGGGTCCCCCGCCGGATTGGGACGAGGAGTGGGAAGTGTCAGAAAGCGAGCTGACCCGGGCGGCCCGCCGGCTCGGTGGGGCGAAAAAAGCCCCCGGGCCGGACGGTGTCCCGGGTCGAGCATAGGCCCTGGTCTTGGCCATTGTGGGGGACCGCCTGAGGCGCATTTTCACGGGTTGCCTCAAGACGGGTGTTTTCCCCAGTCGGTGGAAAAGGGCGGGGCTGGTCCTCATTCCCAAAGTGGGCCGGCCCCTGGACACCCCTTCCGCGTATAGGCCTATTTGCCTATTGGACGAGGTGGGCAAATTCTTTGAAAGAATCGTGGTGGCCCGCCTCGTCCGGCACCTCTCTCGGGAGGGTCCGGACTTGAGCGACGCTCAATACGGCTTCCGCGTTGGCCGCTCCACGGTAGACGCAATCCTCCGTGTGCGGTCCTTCGCGGAGGCCGAGATGGAGGAGGGGAGGGTGGTGGTGGCGATTTCGTTAGACATAACGAACGCCTTCAACTCCCTCCCCTGGGACCGGGTAGAGGAGGCGATGCGATTCCACCGCTTCCCCCTCTACCTGGTCCATATAGTCCGGGCCTACTTC